ACCTGGCTAACTCTGATTTCTAGTATATGGTTGAATTCAGCGTCACCTCCTCCAGGAAGCCCTCCGGACTCCCCATAGTCAGGTTTTGTCCATAGCCCTCATCACACTGTCTTGTCATTAATTTCTTTTCCCACTTGTCAGAGCTGCTTGAGTGCAGGGACAGCGTGTGATGTGTGACTCCGCCAGCCCCTGACTCAGTGCCTGGGACAGAGCAGGGGCCCCGCAAGGGCTGGAAGCATTTGACTCTGATTCTCTGTATGTCTCCCGTGGGAAGCAGGCAAGGGGTTTGAACTTGGTAGCAGCAAGCGAGTTGCTGGAAGCCGGGTGGTGGTGTGCAGCTGAGCCTGGGATCCCGGGGCCATAGTGGGCGTTGGGAGCCGCCCAGGGGCGGAAAACCAGCCGAGTGCTGGGCCCGCGGCAAAGGAAATCAGCCATTTAGTTCCTTCAGGAGATGCTGAGCACTGTTTCTAGAGCAGTGCTCAGAACCTACGAGCGGCTTATAGAATGTTCCTGCCAAAATGTCTCTCTGGGGAGGTTAGGGCCTGTGGGACCCACACTGAGGGAGAGGGCCATTCTCTGCACTGGAGCCCGACACGTCCCCAGTCTTGGGCTTGTGCTGGTATTTGAGTTGAACTTTTCTGAACTTGCCATCATCATCAACAATTACTTGGCCATGGGCCCACTCCAGGCCTTGCGGCAAGTGTCAGAAGGGCACATACCAGAGCATGGGCAGGCCCTCCGACGTTGCCCCCTCGTTCTCGAGAACACACCGAATGACCGTGAAAGCAGGGCATCCGGCTGTTTCCACGGGGGTGTTAGCACTGGTTGTGGCTGGACGGTGGGATTTGGGTGATGAGCTCTCCTGTACCATTTAACTTCCCTACAGGGAGCAAGTACTGTGCTCAAACACAAATGCTAGGTTTTATGTTGTGGAGGAAGTATTGTGTGTTTTAAAGCAAGAAGCACACGTTTGACCCCCTAACTCCCTGCCCGGTCCTGCTCTCTCTAGTGAGGGGGTGGACCTGCTGGATGACCCCGTGATTCAGAGGGTGGCCCGGAAGTACAACAAGTCTCCAGCCCAGGTAGGAAGGGGCTGCCTGGGGGGAGAGGGGAGGGGCATGCCCTCTTCCTCGGGGAGCCAGGGACTGGACGGAGGAAGGGTTCACTGACGGTGGCCCAGATGACCCCCTGTCTGGAGCTCCCTCGGTTCACCAGCCCAGGGCCGTGCTCCCAGCCATGCAGGCTGCGAGGCCCCGTCGGCGGCACTCCGGATGGGAGCTCTGAGGCCGTGTCCCTCGGCCCACCAGCCCAATGGGACAGGGATGGCCTTTACCACTCTTCCGTGCTCTCATGTCCGACGTCTGGGGGTTGGGCGCCTCATTAATTCTCATTAATTCACGGAATTTTCCATGGGCCAGTGGCAGTCATTACACACACATTGGAGGAACCATCCAGAAAACGCCAGTTTGGTTCTGGAAGGATTTTGGAACAGAAGAGCTTGTAATAAAAGCTCCAGCTGCCCCTGACTTTTGGACTTCATTGCACAATATAATATAGACTATGCGGGAAACAGCTAACTCCATGGGATTTCCCCTTGTCTAATATTAGACTTTTTTTTCTGTAGATTTTGCTCCGATTTCAGATCCAGAGGAATGTGATAGTGATCCCCAAATCAGTCACCCCAAAGCGGATTCTTGAGAATATCCAGGAAAGTGCTTTTCTTCTTTTACTCGGAGGGTTTGGAATCATATGTTAGTTAGCTGGGGGTCTGACCACTGCAGCAAACAGGCCCCCTGTGGCTTTGACACGACAGAGGGGCGGGATGAAGCCACGGCCACAGCACAAGGAACCCGAGAGGGTGACCACACCGGCCCAGGAGCTGGCAAACCAGCTGAAACGGGGAACGGAGAGGTGATGAACCAGGGAGTCAGCCAGAGGCGCCCAGGGCTGCCTGCCCAGCCAGGAGCCTGCTCCCCAGCCCTCAGGACCGCTGGCCCCGGGGCTGCCCTGAGCCCTCCAGAACTGAACCCAGCGCCCCCCCGGGGCCCCAGCCCGCCCTCCAGTCAGCACTGCGTGGACACCGAGTCCCTGGTGTCTGCTGGACTGGGGTGGAGGATTCCCTCTGGGGAGAGGCCGGGCCCCCGGCCACTGCACCTTCTCTCCCAGCTCCTCAGCGGCGACTAGGGTTGGCTCTCCTGGGAGAAAAGCTCTTATTTTAGGAGTGACTCCTAGTCCTCCAGTGTGTTAAGAGTAAAAGGGCAGACGGAGTGGCAGGGGGCAGCTTAGAATTCTGCTTTAGAAGGAACGGACATGAAAATCACACCGTGTTACGGATACTGTGAGACTTAACGGTCCCGGGGCCCATGTGTCCTCCGGGCTGGCAGGGTGTGGGGCACAAATGGTTTGGGGCTTTGGTTTTTCATTTTTTGGCTTTTTTGAGCAGTGGGGAAAAAATGCTTTGCTGTACCTCTTAACTCTTCTGGGATGTCCTTACTCCCGCGGGGTGCATGCGGTTCCCACCCAGCCCCGGGCAGCCGGCGTCCGGAGGTGGCAGCTCACAGTCCACGTGCGGGTGCGGAGGCCGATGCTCTGGGGGAGTTGCAGGGGCCACACGTGGTGTTGCATCTGCAGCGCTGTGTCCCCGACGGGCCTGGCTCAGCGCCTTGCAGGTGACGCGTGCTCAGCGAAATGCTCACCGATCTGAATTGGCTGTGAACATCTGTTTTGGCTGCAGGTGTTTGACTTCGAATTATCAGAACAGGATATGAACAACATCCTCGGCCTGGACAGGAACTTGCGAATGTGCAGGTTACCCATGTAAATATGTCTCCTTTACTTCGTCTCACGACAGGGATTGGTTCTTGAAGAGATGCTGATTATATACGTTTGAGGTTAAATTGGGTGTGCATCAGTCTTTCCTATTTGAGGCTGGGCCACTGAGTGAAGCCAAAGACTAATTTAATTTAATGTATCAGGGAGCTTGAAAGTACACGACTGTAGCTTTTAGTATGTTTCTCTTAAAAAGAATGAACATCTCTATTTTTTATCTGTTTTCCTGTTTTTCAGAGCTGAAAACCACAAGGACTATCCTTTCAACATAGACTACTGAGCATGGCTCCCCGCTTCGTCCTCCTGCTGCCCGGACAGGTGCCCCAGGTCTGACCCCCGCCTCTGCGCAGGGTGGCCAGGGAGGGGAGGGACGGGGTTTGATTCGGGTGGGTTCCCACCTGGAACAGAAGCTGAGCTCCCTGAGAAACACACACGGTTCAGCCAGTTTCAGTGATGGAGACAAACACCATGGGAGCGGTGAGGACTCTCCGTGGAGAACCCTCAGTCCTAAGGATCCTTTGAGCACAGCGTGATGGGATTCTTACAAGACAAGCTATGTGGCCTGTACTCTCGAAATAAAGATTGTATTATGGAAACACTTAAATACAAGAGTTGAGATCATCACATCAGTCTACATCTGTCACTCAAGTCCCCTCACCAACCCTGGGCCCGCCTTGTGTCATCTGTGCTCCTCTGCCCCTGCCAGTCCCCCCAAAATCCGTACCTTCACACATCCAGAGAACACCTGGCTGAACGTGGGCGAGGTCTCGGTTCAACAGAGGCTTTTCTTCTTATTTAAATATACCTGGGGAAACCCAGCTCAGAGAGGACATGTGGCCTGTCCCCGTCATGCACTCAGGGTCCAGCCTGTCCACGTGCCGCATCAGGAAGAGCATGAGGGCGCGCGTCCACATGGGCTCGTTCAGGGCAGCGTGTGATTCGTCTCACTGGGTGGCACTTCGGCACCAAGCTTCGGACCAATTATTATGTTGGATTAAGAAAGCTCATTTTCATGAATTAGTTGCCAGGTGTTTCCCTGTTTCTGTTAAGTGTATGAAAAGTTCTACACAATTGGCTAATAATGCTTTCTATTAATATTTACAGAATTTTTCTATTTAACAAAGTAATTTTGCCGGATTCAGAATGCAAAGAGAATGGAAAAAAGCTCAATTATAGAAAGCAAAAATGGCCTAAAATAGCAGTATCTAAGAAGAATCATCTTTCTAGTGGCTCCTTCTAATCTTTGCCCATGTCCACGACATTATGTAGATAAATTACATAAAGTATGTAACACAGGGGCGCCTGGGCGGCTCAGTCGGTGGAGCGTGGGACTCTTGGTTTCGGCTCAGGTCGTGATCTCAGGGTTGTGAGGTTGAGCCCCAAGTGGGGCTCCGTGCTCAGGGAGGAGTCTGCTTGTCCCTCTCCCTCTGCCCCTCGCCCTGCTCACTCTTTCTCTCTCTCTCAAATAAATGAATCTTAAAAAAATATATGTAACACGTATACACATCTAATAAATGGACATAAACACTTCACAAAACCTGCCACACAGCACATGTCATTTGTAACTTGCTTTTTAAAAATGCATGAATGTATATACTGGACGTACAGTTCACGCAACTGTTCACTTAATATTTTGACAAATAATTTTAACTAATCATCCGAGCTTCCTGCCTAGTGTAAATGATTTCCACATCTTACACTGAATCTTCGTCACGGTAATTCCAGCCTTGCAAAGGCACTGTTCGATGGGGGGGGGGGGGTGTTGTGCTGCTTCTCATCGCTACACCTTAAACTTAAACAAATGTCCCTTGAGGGACCACACAGTACTGTAAGTTCCATCACTTTATATTCTACAGGAAAAAAAGGATTACACATTTGTAAGTGGTTTTTTGACTAGGACCACTTGGAATAGCAACACCATGGCAAATACCAGGAAGATGAGAAACACTCGGCCCCACAGAGCTGGGGTGGAGGACGCGTGCACACGGTGAGCCCTGTGCTCACCTCTGCATGCAGGGCCTCTGCATCAGCTGGGCCAAGCGCGGGCGGCCCACAGCTTCCGTCGCACTGTGCACATCTGAGAACCCTCCGCAAAGCCCGAGGGCGCGGACCGTCGATGAGTAGGCAGGCACCCCGGCTGCGACCCCAGGCCTCGCCTGCGTCCGAGGATTTCAGAAGCGGGTCCGCGGGGGGCGCCGGCGCATTCGCGGCTCTGGCGGCAGGGGGCGCCGCTCCTCCGCCTGTGGGTTGGAGGCTCTCCTTGGGGCGGGGTGGTCGTCCGGGGGTTGGGAGTCGTGAAACCCAGGCTCGAGGACGGAAACGGACTGCAAGAGCGCACGGGCCAGCTCAGGGGAGGCGGCAGGGGTTCGTTCCCGAGCCCGGACCGACATCGGGGACGCTGGCTGGGAAGGCGAAGCAGGGGAGCCGACGGGGGCCAGGCAGCTGGGCTCTGTTTGCTTACCCAGCTTCTGAGACTGGACCTCTCCCCAGGCCGCCCAGGGGTTCCGGCGAGGCGCCGCGCAGGCGTGACTCCGGCCCCGGCTCCCCGCAGGTGCGACTTCTGTCCCGGCTCCCCGCAGGTGCGACGCCGGCTCCCCGCAGGTGCGACTTCTGTCCCGGCTCCCCGCAGGTGCGACTTCTGTCCCGGCTCCCCGCAGGTGTGGCGCCTGCCCCCGTCTGGGAATGGCCCAGGCCCGCCTGGTCCACAGGGAGAGGAACAGTGGTTTGGAGGGCTGCCAGGGGGGCCTCTCTCTCCGCGCTGTGGACAGCCTTGGTGAAAAAGGACACCATTGCTCTCCCGTCTCGTGCACATAAGGGCAACGTGAGCTCTGAACAATGGGGTCCATCTTTCTTGATGGAACCTCTACTATTAGTGACAGTTTTTGAACTTGCACCCAAATACATGTGTATTTTTTATGTATTATATAAACGCACTCTTTACTGATCCGTTATGTACATTATAAAATATGCCGCAAAATAGAAAAAAAAATTAAGCCAGGGATGAAATAAAAAATTGAAAAATAAGAACTTTAATCACGGTCCAAACTCTTTGTTCTTACTAATTTATTACTAACAAATTCTTTTCAAAGCAATAGTTTGACTATGCTTTACATATATATATATATATATGTCAATCTTGATTCAACACTTTGTGATATAGAAATTTGAAATTCTGATTCTAAACTCAGTTCCATTTGAAACATGGTCTTTATGGCAAGCAGCTGGGGCTGGAAATTCCTCACAAAGATGCATTGATGCAAATGGAGAAAGCACACCTTTGGAAGCTCTTAATAAATCATGGCACTCATTTCTCAGTCCCTTTTACCAATTATACCATTTTTGAAATTTGGGCTCTCCAATATATGTTAAGTTTTTTGAAGAATTACCCTTTCAGTAACTTTTAGGAGAACTATAAATTTATAAAGATCTCCTGGAGGAAAGTTGGGATTATATTCCAAAGTCCGTACAAATGTGTCTATGAATTGATAGCATTTGAACCCCCCATATTCTCAAGTGGAAGAGTGTATGTTGCTAAAGAAAAGTATTTATGGTTAATCATTTGAATGTATGGGAAAATTAAAATTTGAGTTTAACAACAATTTCCAGAAAGGATTGTTCTTCCCTTGGGGTTCATTTGGACTTTTGAATCCCTCACCCCAAATTCTGAATTATCCCAGTTACCAAGTGGTAACTAACAATGCCAAGTCCTACAACTGGCTTGAAATCCCCATCATTCAAGTTCAGAGAAGGAGGTGTATTGAGCCACTGGCTTCACTGGCTGAGCTAAATCACTCCTGTTTTCAATTCCACTTCCTCTGGGCTGTGCTCTGAGATTGTCCTTGGGATTACTCAAGAACTGGTAGAGGGGCCTATGGTTAGAGTCTCACCCAAATTCTTTTGACACTGGGTTAGAAAAGATTCCAAAAGGAAAGGGAATATGTGGAGCTGAAACCAATTTTCTGGTTTCTTATTTTATAAAGCACTTTTTATCTTGAACTAATTGTAGATTCAGAGTAAGTCATAAGAAATAATATGGAGTATCCCATGTACTCTTTACTCAGTTTCCCCCAGTGGTACCATCCTGAAAAACTATAACACAGAATCACAGAATCACAAAGAGGAGAGCCACGGGGGACAGGGGTCGGAAGGTCAGAAGGAAGGATGTTTCCCGGCCACTTTCCTCAAAGATGAGGCATCCCTCTGGACGGGGACCAGTGGAGTCCATCACCCTCCTCCTCCCCAGCGTCTACAGCGCACCGAGCTACTTACGGATCTGCAAAACAGCGAATGTTTTTGTTTAGGCCGTCCAGAGTTTCCATGTCCTCTGGTGTCACCAGGAAATCGAAAACCTGTCAGAAACGGGAGAAGACTGGCTCCTTTTCCTTGTGCCCCTGACTGCCCCCGCCCCCCCCCCCCGGGAAACACCAAATTTTGTTGGGGAGGGGTGCGGGTGTTGTGAGACGGTGGCCGTGAACCTGGGGCTCATTCCCCTGCAAGAGTGTGGCCGTGTGTCCACTGAACTCAGACCACCCTCGGGGTTGCTGGGCGGGTGTGGGTGCGGCTGGAACAAAGGAATCCTAGACAGGTTTAAGCCCAAATCACATCTCATCTAACTCCTCCATTCTGCCCCTGAAGAAATCAAGGCCATACCGTGAGGTAAAAAAAAAAAACAACATCGAGACCCAAACCTGACCCTCTGGAGTCCTTTCCCACATTCCTTCCCTGCCTCAGCCGGAGGATGGAGTAGTTACCTACAGCACTTAGATGCACACAGTATACGCCCAAAGAGTCCTCGGGGGTCCCACAGATAACCCAGACCAGAGGGAAATGAGGCACCTCTGTCGGTCCCCTGCTGCCCACAGCCCTACCACGAACCTGGAAGTTCTCCTGAATTCTCTTCTCGTTGAAGCTCTTGGCCAAGGCCACCACCCCACCCCACTGCAGCTGGAAGCTCAGGGCCACCTGGGCAGGAGAGCACCTGTGCTTCTCGGCAATGGCCTTGAGCACTGGATCCTTCAGGAGAGCGGGGGTGTTCTTGTTCACCCTGGAAGAGAGGCAGAGGTGCCGTGTGCCTGAGCTTGCATACCCACTCACGCTGCGGGTGCTTCATCCTCTGAAATCTGCCTCATTACCCTCTGGCTGTCTCCATCCCTGTTTTTGCTTCTTTTAGTAAATCCAGAGAAGGACCAGAGAAAGGAAGGCAGGAAAGGACTCCCAGGTATTATTTCATTTTTTTCAAACTTTTCTGAGTAATGTAGTAAAAGACTGGATAGGTCAAGAAGATAAAATGTTTGTCCAAAGCAGGACCCAATAATCTCCATGATAATAAATAATCTAATTATTTCATAACAACTTCAAAAATGCTTTCAAGTAACGATCTGTTCTGTCGAGTGCTAAAAGGTGCATTTTTATATTCCTCTTCAAGAGATAAAGAAACTAAGACTTACAGAAGTTGTTACTTGTCTCCTATCACTCAACCGTCAAGCGTCAGAATCGTGGCGTGGGCTCCCTTGGTCACTCTTGAAGGCCAAAGCTTCTGAATTGTGTGAATATTTTAATCCGTGATTTTATTACCTCATACTGTGTTCTTGAGTCGTTACAACGTAGGATAGTTAAAGGGTTTTCAAGGATGGATTATTCCTGCCGTCTACAGTCAACCTCCCCCTGAGGGTTGAGCAATGACGACCCCAGAAGGTACGGCGCCTGTGGTTAGAAAAAATGCACAGAGGTCATTACCATTCCTTCCTGGAGTCGGACCCCAAGGCAGCGTATGCGGTCAGGACGATGTCCTTGGGCTTGCAGAACTCCAGGAGTTTGCTCTGGTTGAGGTAAGGGTGACATTCCACCCGCAGAGTGCCAAGCAGAAGGGTTGGATCTCAGGACCAGGGCCACCAAATTGATGAGGAACATACGGGGCTGTGTCGCATGGTCACCAACGCATTTAGGCGTCCCACAGGATCGTCACCCACAGCTGGGCCAGTGGAGTGGCCAGAGGCTGACCTCTGGATTACTGCCCAGAGACAGCAAGTACCGAGAAATGGGCTCGGGGCTCAGGAGAGACAAGCTCGGGGTGGGAGGCCTTGGGTGTGAGGACACCCATTGTGTGAGGATACGCATTGCTCGTATCTAGGGAGGAGCAGCTCTGCCTTTCCTAATTATCCTCAGCCTTACACTGATCTCTTCTCTTCACAGCCGCCCCGCCTCATCCTCCACATCTGAGTAATTTTGACTCCCGAAACCAGAGTGCTTTCCTCTTTCCCACCACATCATGTTGTGATGTCTCTGAGTGATCCTTGGAGCCTCCAAACGCCAGAATTGCTCTGCATCCCTGCACCTGTTCCCTTGCCTAAGCTCAGTCTTGTCCTGGGTGTAAAGGGATTTGTGACTTTTGGCCCCTTTGCCATCAAGTGGAAAGAAATGGCTAGTTGTTGTTCGCCAGAAACTGTTATTAGTGTTATGAGACGCACACACAGCTAGTGAGAGAGGTTTCTGTGCAGTAACAGGTATTCAGTGGTACTGTCTCCTCATTTTCCATCTGTCTTCCTTCCATGCACCCGGAGAGCAGGAAATCCAGAACCTTTACGCACAATGCCAACCACGTCTTCTCTGCCTTCTTGTCCAGGTATATGTGGGCCAAGGCCGTCAACCCAGCCATGGGACGGGTGGGCTAGGGGCCAGCTCAGCTCAATTGTGGATTCTTGGGCTGGGGTTGGGTATATTCCCTTCCATCAGATCAGTTAGGCCAGAGTTAAACCCCAGGTGGTTAGGCTGCAGTGTAGTGGTTTCGCTGTGGGGTGGGCCCAGACAGAAACAGAATGTTCTAACCATTTTTCAAGCTGACTACTTTCCTTTCCCCCGGTTAGAAGCATGAGGGGATTTTTTTTCTCCAGTGTTCATTGGGAAAACCTGGTAGGGCTTCTGGAGGTAAAAATCACAAAAGTGTGTGGAACCACCCAATAGATGAGCCCCACGGAGTCTTTAGCTCTCAGACTCGTCCACACTGAGCCTCCAGCAAGTCAGCAGCTGCTGTTCGACACTTTCCTGCCCCAAAGGGACCCTAGCAGCCCTTGTGTTCCTGGGAAGCTGTGATTCCCTGCATCTGCCTGTCTGCCTCTCCAATTTTCGGGGCAGCAGCTTGCCTGGACCCCAGTCGTCTGAGGGATCGAAACAGAGTGGCTGGTTCTCTGTTGGGTCAGCTTCTTCATTACTGCACAGACGCAAGGCACAACTCCCCAGCTCCTTAACGTGCCAGAGCCCAAACCGGAAGTGCGGCAGAAGCACTTTCTGCTGCACACCTTTCTCGCTGCTTTTCCTCTGACTCCGGTGGTCAGATCAGAGGGAGCAGAGATCCAGAATGAGCTGGCTTGCTGGGGCTGGCTCAGGCAGGAAGTGCAAATTAACTCTCTGTGTCACGGCCACTCCTGTTTGCAGCTCAGGTGGGGAGGAAGGGGGACGTGTTGTATGCGGGGCCCCAAACCAAACCTGGCCCCGGGTACACCTGACCTCAACCACCGTCCATGATGACCTGTTTGCCTCACAGGTCACCAGGGACTATACTTTGCACCAGCTCTTCGGGCCCGTGCAGATGCCCCGCCGACCAATGACCTCCCCTTGGCCGCGTTCTGCTGGCTCTGTAGAGCTCATGGCCACGTTCGACTTCTTAATTCGTCACCACTACCCCGGTCAGAACCAGTTTCTTTACTTCCTCTAAACTTGTGATGCCCAAAGTGGAGGTAAACCTCCCTAGTTATCCTCAAGTTTTTAGAACTCCTTTGTATTTTCATCTAAAAATAAGCCTCCCGAATATTTAATACACGGACTGCCTATCCCTCTTTGTCAGCCAGCAGGTAAGAAATTTAAAAGGAGTTGACATAAAACCAGGGTGCGTGTGGGCCCTGCCTAGTGCAGAGGGGTGGCCGCTCCCTTCCCTACTTATAGGATTTCTTACTTTATTCCGTAAAATAAGCAAGTTGTATGTGTGGCTTATTAAAGCAGATTTATCTTCGCAAGTGGACTTCTTAATTTTTTTTACTTGTAAATTTGTTATTGTGGTAAAATACACATAACATAAATTTACCATTTTTTATAAAAAATAAGTTTACCAGGGTGCCTGGGTGGCTCAGTTGGTTAAGCATCTGCCTTCGGCTCAGGTCATGATCCCGGGGTCCTGGGATCGAGCCCCACATCGGGCTCCCCGCTCTGTGGGGAGTCTGCTTCTCCCTCTGCCCCTCCCTCGCACTTGTGCGCTCTCTCTCTCTCTCTCTCTGTCAGATAAATAAATAAAATCTTTAAAAAAATAAAAATTAAAATAAAAAAATAAGTTTACCGTTTTAACCGTTTGTAAGTGTAGGGTTCAATGGCATTCACGTATTCACATTGTGGCAGGCTGATTTTGTACCTTCGAGTCTCAGTGGTTATCTCGTGACACAGAACTCAACAGAATTCCCCGTTTTCCTTTACGCAAGGGTGTTCCAACTTTATTGACCGGAGGTGAGAAAGCCCAGTAGCTGGTTAGCTTTAATTTTCTAGGACCAACCACCATAGCGCCTCTAGTTGATTACACTCCAACCTGACCCCCTGATGTTTGTTTATAAAGCAATGTGGCCTTGGGACCTGTTTCAACAACTTGCAATGCACTCCGTTCTCTAGAGGGGAGGGAGAGGCCACTGGTGACCTTGTTGAAATGAGGGAAGAGGAAGCTGAGGAGGGAGAAGAGGTTGGGGCGTGGGGGGGCGGACTGGTGAGGCTCACCTGGTTGCAGACAGGCTTGTACTTGAGCCCTGGCTTGTTCAGGATCATCTCCAGCTGCCTGCAGCTAAAGTTGGACACGCCGATGGACTTGGTCAGCCCTGAATCCTTACACTTCTCCACGGCCTGTGGACGGAGGGGGTGTGAGGAGTTATCTGTGTAACCACCTGGGGAAGCATGGTAAACAGTAGCATGCTTAGCCTGGGGGCTGGGGCTGGGAGAGAAGGTGAGACACAGCAGGAGAGAGAAAGCCTTGAAAGGTGCCGACGTCAGTAAATGAGGTAGGAATTAACCGAGTATGAGAATGAAAAAGAAAATAATAGGAAAAAAATGAGTAAGAAGATAGAATAAGGAAAGAAGGCAAGCGGTTCATGACAAAGCTAAAGGGGCTAATGCGATTTTTAGCTGAAAGCTAGAAAACCTTGAGCGATGGCAAAACAAGCTCCAGGAGAACAGGAAGTGGAGCCTGGGAAGCACAGGAAGCAGGGAGGAGGCCATACATGTAACCCCCAGACCACTGGCTCCCTCTTTTCCCTTTGACTTCATTTCCTATTAGGGTTACCAGATTCACTCTGTTCCAGTCACACATGCCCCTTTGCTGTTCTTGAACACAATAGGTTCTCTCTCACCTTAAAAACTGGGCCTTGGGAGCACCTGGGTGGCTCAGTCGTTCAGCGTCTGCCTTTGGCTCAGGTCATGACCCCGGGGTCCTGGGATCGAGCCCCACATCGGGCTCCCTGCTCAGCAGGGAGTCTGCTTTTCCCTCTCCCTTTATGCTCTCTCTCTTTCTCTCTCTCGCTCGCTCTCACTCTTTCTCAAGTAAATAAATAAAATTTTTAAAAGAAAAAAAGCAACCCTGGGCCTTGGCTTTCTTTATGCCTGTATCACTCTCCCTCCAGATACCCACACGATCAGCTCCCTTACTTCTTGCAAATCTTTGCCCAATGTTAGCTGCTCAGGAGGGCCCACCCTGCCCATCCGCACCCCATAGCTACCTTGGCACTCTCAGTCCTGTGAGTCAGCCTTCCCTTCCCATTCCAACCTCTTGCCACAGCACATGCAACCAGACACCTTGATCTGCTCACCGATGTAGCCTGAGAACTTAAAAATTCTCCGCGCTGAGTACACCATAGGCACTCAATAAGTACTTACTGAATTATTAAGTGGGGGCGATGTGAAACCAAGGCAGAGGGACATCCGGGGACTCGCCCAAGTCTACACGGGAGCAGAATTGGATGAGACACATGTTTCCTGGACTCCTTGTCCATCCTCTGTCTCCCAACACGCAGAGACGTGGGTAGCACCTTTGGAACTGTACTCACCTCCCATGTGGCACCGAAATCCACTGTGTCAAAAATGATTTCTCCATCTTTGTCCTTTGGAAAAAGTTCCTCCCCGGGCTGGGACACAGAAAAGAATGAGAGGTTGTATAAAGCTATGTTTGGCCTCAGCCAAGCCAGCTACAGCCTACAGACCTGGAGACTAATGCAACAATCTATTCTCATTCTTGAAACGAACGGAAAGGTTAGGTTAAAGGGAAAGAAAGTATGTGGAGGAAGTATACTTCCTAGAAAGTATGTTTTTAACTGCTAAAGGTTTAATGAATATTGTTTGTGTCAAGGACAACTTGAGACACCCAAGGCCCCATCGTAGAGAGAAGTGAGGGTGGTGCCAGGACTCCACAGGCCCTTTGGCCCCGGACCCTTGTGGGATAGGCCCCTCCCACCCCTGCTTTCCATCTGGAGGTGGCCATACGAGAGCATGACTCATCAGCATCTCAAGGCCTGAGTTCCAGGCTCATTAAATCTCCGGTACCTCAACTGGTCTCCACATCGGGACCTGCCCCAGACACCAGAGGACAGAGGCTGAGATTTAGGAGCATGGGATCTTCAAAATACAGGCAATGGATTCATAAGATCGAAGCAAAGACATGGAAGCCAATGAGCTTTTGTCACTCTGGGACTGAGATGGGAATATTGTAGCAGAAAAAGGGGAATCTCAAAGTATTATGTATGTTTTCTCCTCATTTTTATAAACTATATCCTCTGCTGTATTCAGCTACTAATCGTTATGTTGATCATCAAAGTAAAATAACTTTGCTAACCTTCAAAGCTGCTGGGAAATGAATGAGATAAAGGTTCACATAGCTCAACCCAAGCTTCCTCGGGGACGTGTCCAGGCCAGTTTGAACCAATTCTGGACGGAAGAAGGTTCCCCACACCTGCAGTGGTCGAAAGAGAAATGGTAAAGAGATGATTTTTTTTAAGAATCTTTTTTTAAGATTTTTTTATTTATTTGACAGAGAGAGACACAGCGAGAGAGGGAACACAAGCAGGGGGAGTGGGAGAGGGAGAAGCAGGCCTCCCGCCGAGCAGGGAGCCCGATGCGGGGCTCGATCCCAGGACCCTGGGACCATGACCCGAGCCGAAGGCAGACGCTTAACTGACTGAGCCACCCAGCCTCCCCCCTTTTTTTAAGAACCTTTAGGAGAAATTAATAAAGTATAAAACAGTCACTATTTGTAATGCAGACATGATACCATATAAAGACTCCACCAAAAAACTATTAGAACTAATAAATTCAGAATTCAGTAAAGTGGCAGGAGACAAAATTAATATACAGAAATCTGTTGCATTTCTATACAATAAGGACACAGTAGAAAAAGAACTTAAGAAAACAATCCCATTTACAATTGCACCAAAAAGGATAAAATACCTAAGAACAAATTTAATCAAGAAGTAAAAGACCTGGATTCTGAAAATTATAAGACATTAATGAAAGAAATTAAAGATGACACAAACAAATGTAAAGATACACCATGCTCGCAGGTTGGGAGAACTAATATCGTTAAAATGTCCATACTACCAAAAACAATCTACAGATTCAATGCAATCCTTCTCAAAATACCAACAGAACTACTATGTATGTGGAACCACAAAAGACCCTGCACAGCCAAAGTCATCTTGAGATAGAAAAGCAAAACTGAAAATATCACAATTCTGGACTTCAAGTTATACTACAAAGCTGTAGTCATCAAGAGAGTATTGTCCTGGCACAAACAGACACATAAATCAATGGAACAGAACAGAAAACCCAGAAATGGACCCTCAACTGTATGGTCAATTAATCTTCAACACAGCAGGAAAGAATATGCAATGGAAAAAAGACAGTCTCTTCAACAAACGGTAGTGGAAACACTGGACAGCAACATGCATACACAAAAATAAACTCAAAATGGTTAAAGACTTATATGTGAGACCTGAAACCATAAAAAGCCTAAAAGAAAACACAAGCAGTAATCTCTTGGATGTTGGCCTCAGCAACATACTTATGGATATGTCTCCTGAGGCAAGGGAAATAAAAGCAAAAATAAACCGTTGGGACTACACCAAAGTAAAAAGCTTCTGTACAGTGAAGGGAACAATCAACGAAACAAAAAAAGCAACCTACAGAATGGGAGAAGATATTTCAAATGATATATCTGATAAGTGGTTAATATCAAAAATACATAAAGAGCTTATACAGCTCAACACCAAAAGAACAACTAATCTGATTAAAAATGGCAAAAAACCTGAATGGACATTTTTCCAAAGAAGACATGCTGATGGCCAACAGACACATGAAAAGATGCTAAACATCATCAACCATCAGGGAAACCCAAATCAAAACCACAATGAGATACCACCTCACACCTGTCAGAATGGCTAAAATCAACAACACAAGAAACAACAGGTGTTGGCGAGGATGTGGAGAAACGGGAACCTTCTTACACTGTTGTGGGATTGCAAGCTGGTGCAGCTGCTGTGAAAAACAGCATGGAAGGATGTTCCTCAAAAAATTAAAACTAGAAATACCATATTATCTACTACTATAATTCCACTTTGGAGTACTTACCCAAAGAAAACGAAAACACTAATTCAAAAAGATACACGCACCCCTGTGTTTATTGCAGCATTATTCACAACAACCAAGATATGGAAACAATCCAAATGTCCATTGATAGATGAATGGATAAAAAAGATGTGATATATATGTATATGTACAAATGGAGTGTTATCCATAAAAAAATGAAATCTTGCCATTTGTGACAACATGGATGGGCCTAGAGGATATTATGCTAAGTGAAATAACCCAGAGAAAGAAAAATGCCATATGATTTCACTTATATGTGAAATCTGAAAAGCAAAACAAATGAATGAACAAACAAACAAACAAACAGAAAAGAGAAACAGAGTCATAAATACAGAGGAGAAAATGGTAGTTGGTAGTTTCCAGAAGGGACGGGAGGCAGGGGAGAGGTGAAAGAGGTGAAGGGGATCAAGAAGTATGAACTTCCAGTTAGCTATACAGTAAGGAGGTCATGAAGAATGGAGACCATATATAGTCAATAATGTTGCAACAGCATTGTATGGTGACGGATGGGGGCTACACTTATCGTGGTGAGTGTTGTGTAATGTATAGACTTGTCAAACCACTCTGTTGTGTGCCTGGAACTCAAAGAACATTGTGTTTCAACTCTACTTCTGTAACAAAAAAATGCTCTTTTAACTTCACTTCAATAAAAAAAAAATGTTGTATTTTAATATGGCTTAGTTGATTGAGTCATCAGGGGCTTGCTGCCTGGTTCTAGCCTAAGCAGAAACAAATAAAACTATTTGATTCAGCTTAAAAAAAAAAAAAAAGAATCTTTAGGAGAAAATAATAAAATGGCAAATCAACAACAACAACAACAACAACCACAAATCCAAGTGCTGTCATTGGGAAGTCATCCTGCCAAGCTCCTAAGTTCCGTATCCTCATGGCTTCCGTTTCATACTGAATTAAGACAATGCAGTAGAAACGGAGAAGTATGGCCCTACACAGAGGGTCTCAAACTTTAAAGTTCTTTTTTTTAATTTATTTATTTGACAGAGAGGGACAGCGAGAGCAGGAACACAAGCAGGGGGAGTGGGAGAGGGAGAAACGGGCTTCCAGCTGAGCAGGGAGCCCGATGTGGGGCTCGATCCAAATGTATATATTTTTTAAAGATTTTATTTTATTTGAGAGAGAGAGAGAATGAGTGGGGTGAGGGTCAGAGGGAGAAGCAGACTGTGCTGGGCAGGGAGACCAATGTGAGACTCCATCCCGGGACTCTGGGATCATGACCTGGGCTGAAGGCAGACGCTTAAAGACTGAGCCACCCAGGCGCCCCACAAACTTTAGAACGTAAAGGAATTAATTGGCCTCCCTGTGTAGAACGCATCCCTGGGTTCTACCTCAAACCTAATAAATCACAGTATCTAGAGATTGAGCTGGGAAATCGCATTTTAAACAAGAACCTCAAGCAGTTGTGATTCAGGAAATTGTGTCTTGACTGTATTAAATGGTTCAGTGTTCCCAAGAAAATTCGGTCCTATAGGGATTTTGGTGGGGAAGGTACTTCAGTCAGCTTATTTTAAAGAAGGAATAATTTAAGGAAAATCAATCAAAATTGCTAAAACCAACAAAACAAAAGGATCTAATGGAAAGGAGATAAACAGATGAGAGTAAGATGGTGATACCGTGTCTAACACATAGAGACAGCTTCATCTTCTGGAGCGAAAAGGAAGCGGTATCTGTTCACAGACCTGCCTAGGATTCATTTGCGTGAACTTCAACTCTCTCTTCATGGGCTACTTCACCTCACGTTTAAATATTTGGTTCTAGGGCGCCAGGGTGGCTCAGTCGTTAAGCGTCTGCCTTCAGCCCAGGTCATGATCCCAGGGTCCCGGGATGGAGCCTCGCATTGGTCTCCCTGCCCAGCACAGTCTGCTTCTCCCTCTGACCCTCACCCCGCTTATTCTCTCTCTCTCTCTCTCAAATAAAATAAAATCTTTAAAAAATATATACATTTGGTTCTAGTAGTAGTCAGCTCAATGAACACTACTGGAAAAATGCCTCTTGGATTCTCTTTCTAGTCTGACTCAAATATGAAAGTTCTTTTATTTGTTTCAGGTATGATATCCATGGATGTGAGGAATAGAGGAGAAAATGCTCAAAAGTAAAATATGTGTGTGTGTGTGTGTGTGTGTGTGTGTGTGTGTGTGTGTGTGTAGGGGCGCCTGGGTGGCTCACTCAGTTAAGCGTCCAAGTCTTGATTTAGGCTCAGGTCAAGATCTCAGGTCATGAGATAAAGCCCCGTGTAGGCTCTATGCTCAGCGGGGAGTCTGCTTGAGATTCTCTCTCCCTCTGCCCCTCCCCCTGCTGGTGCACATGCACACTCTCTCTCTCTAAAATAAATAAGTACATCTTGGGCACCTGGGTGCCTCAGTCGGTTGGGCGACTGCCTTCGGCTCAGGTCATGATCCCAGGGTCCTGGGATGGAGCCCCACATCGGGCTCCCTGCTCAGCGGGAAGCTTGCTTCTCCTTTGCCCACTCCCCCTGCTTGTGTTCCCTCTCTCGCTGTCTCTCTCTCTACTGATTGAATAAATAAAATCTTTTTAAAAAAATAAACAAGTACATCTTTGTTTAAAAAGTTAACAAGATACATAAGTATTTTTACAAATATTAATTTCATGTTTGGAGCAGTTCTATTTTCCTACTTCAGAGGAAAGAGACCTAACATGTCTATTATTCACAGATACAGAGGGAACTATACACAGAACCTTCGAAGTGTAGAATATGTCCTCTCTCTTCACCGTGCCATCGGCATTCTTCTTCCAGATGGCCCTCCCAATCTCGTCTTCATTTAGATACAAATAAGCTGAGTCAATATGGCGGTAGCCTACATTGATTGCTGTCTTGACGGCCTCTTCTACATTGCTCTTCGCAACCTAGAAGACCATAAAAAGACAAGGACCTACTAGATTCAGGAATGGCCAGTTCCACAAGCAGAGCTATTCAGCAGGACCTATTGTTTTTCTAAGCGCTGAGAGCTAGAGATGACAGAGCTAAATGATGACTTATAACCTTAGTGGTAAATGTTTAACAACAGACTCTCTGAAGAAAAGAAGTCCTGATTTAGAATATTTGCCAGTTTCTATGGTATAAATACTCCCATCACTGCTAACTTCAAGCTATGAACATTAGGAAAAGGTGCTCACTGTCGGATCTCGTGAGCCCATGAGCTGGCCCCACTTGTCACTGGTTTAACCCTCTGCCTCTGGATTTACATGATCTGTGGTTTTATACAGTCTGTAGATTTACAGTCCCAAGTTAATTCACTGGTAAGAGATTATTACACTGATTGCAATTCAGAAGTCTAAGGCTCAAAATTATCTATCAGTGCAATGAAGGCATAACTTTACACAGAATAAATTAATGATTTACCTATGTCAACTTGGAAAAACACTTCAAACAACGTTTGAGGAAGGACAAAGAGGTAAAAGAAAATAAACTATTTTTTTACGCAAAAATAGCTCATTAATTTGTTGTTATGTCACTAAGTTGGTGTCTGTAGGTGATACTTTCTCCTATGATCAATAGACAACTTGGTTATTTTTCTTAGCTGCCTACTATTCTGCTGCTTTACCAGGCTGGACTTTTAAAGTTAGCCATAATTTCCCCTCTCTGTGACCCTCCTCTCCCTCACTTAAAATGTCTCCAGGATTATTTTTTAATTTGTAACTCCCAATGATACAGACTTAAAAGCCACGTCCAAAGAAAAGAAACACTCTGTGCTAGGGTCCTCGCTGAGTCCTCAGCATGACATCCCACGTGACTCTCCTGCTGGGGAACAAACCCTACAACTTGCTTTAAATAGTTATAAGCTCCTCCACCAAGAACCACTGACGATGTGCTCTTGTAAATTCGCGATGTTCAAATGAGAAACATGCATGGAGCTCAGTTTTCCAAGCAGAGAGAGAATTTCCAAGGGCCACATGGCTCTCCCCATGGCACAGTCTTAACAACCGGGCCTCGAAGAGAGTATTTCCACTCCAGACCACCAACCCTCTCTCTACATGAATCTCGCCTCTCTCCAGATCCTTCAGCGGCTGAGATTTCTCTAGATATTCTACGAGCATGCGTGGACAGAGAGGTCTTGGACCCTGGGCATTACAAAGAAACTTCATGACAAGCAAGGTTGCTGCGAAGTCCCTGACTCCTGGGTTTCACTGATTCCGACAGACTTTGAATGGCTACAACTGGACAGCAGGTGAAAGGAACAGAAACAGCCTTGCCCACCCCTGGACTGCTGATAGATGACACACTTCCATGTCCCTTGATAGAGCACCACTCCAAGTGTGATCCTTGGATAAACAGCATCAGAGTCACTGGGTAGCTCATTAGAAATGTGGATTCTTGAGGCCTATCCCAGATCTACTCATTCAGAACCTTTGTGGGTGCAGCCCCCAAATCTGCATTTTTAACAAGGTCCTCAGGTGTTTGTATGCCTATTAAAATTTGAAAAGCATTGACTTAATGCACAAAACAACCTAGCCTGGAGAGAAGCAGCTTACAAATGGAGAAAATGAGGCCTTCCTGCATTTCCTAAATTCTGATTCTGGTAAGGACCCATGTCTGCTACTCTCCATCCCCAATGTCATTACGACTACCTCACCAGGAGCAGAGGTGCCAAATCCCAACATAGGCATGAGGCGTCCGTCATTCAGCTTTATAGAGCAAGCTTTCACTGGGTCCATCTCTTTGCACTCTTCTGGCTTTTTATTAAAAGAAATCTGCTGAGGGGAGAAAATAATATAATTGACATTTTTTTAACAGCTTTAATGAGATATAAGTCACATACCATAAAATCACCCCCTTTAAATTACCCAAGTCAACAGTTTTTAGTCTATTCCTGGACTTGTTATCCATGTACAAATTTAGAGCATTTTCATAACCCTTCAAAACCCCATACTCATAGAAACAACTCCCCACTCCTCTCTCCCTTCGACCCCTGGCAGCCACTTTCTGTCTCTTTGGATTTGCCTATTCTGGAAACTTTATATAAATGCATTCCTACACTATGTGGCATTTTGTGGCTGCTTGCTTTCACTTTGCATAATGTTCTCAAGGCCAGTCCACGTCATAGTGTGTAATAGTCGCTCATTCCTTTTAAGGGCTAACTAACATCCCTTTGTACAGATGTACCGCATGCTTCTTATCCATTCATCAGTTGACAAACATTTGGTTTTTTCAGCTCTTTGCCTACTGGGAATAATGCTTAAGTAAACATCCATGCACATGTTTTTGTGTGGACATACATTTTCAATTCTCTTGGGTCTATACGTAAGCCTAGAATCACTGAGTCATAGAGCAAACCCAGGTTTAACATTCTGAGAAACTGCCAAGTGTTTTCCGAAATGGCTGTAACATTGACATTCCAATTCTTGAGAATTCCAATTTCTCCACATCTTCTCTGATACCTCTTACCCACTGTTTTTTGTTAATAGCCATCCTGACAGGTATGAAGTGATGTTGTGGTTTTGATCTGCATCTCCCTGATGATGAGTGATGTGGAGCATATTTCCATGTACCTCTTGGCTATTTGCATATCTTCTTTGAAGAAATGTCTACTTCAGTCCTTGCCCATTTTTGAATTTGTTATTAGTTTCCTTTACTAACAAGTTGTGGGAGTTCCTCATATATTTTGGAAAGGAACTTCTTATCAAGTACATGGTTTGCAAATGCCAAATTCTTCCATTTCAAAGAATGCCTTTTCTCTCTGTTGATGGTTTCCTTTGCTGTTTTCAAGCTTTTTGGTTTGATGAAGTCCCACTTGTTTATTTTCATCATGTTGCTTGTACTTCTGGTATGAAATCACGATTAATGTCATTAAGATTTTCTCCAATGTTTTCCTCCAGAGTTTTAAAGTTCTTGGTCTTATATTTAAGTCTTTAATCCATTTTGAGTTGAATTTGACAACCCCAATACATTTGTATTATTCTAACATGGTCTTAGAATGATTAATCTTCGATTAATTTTGTTTTTAACCTATTTAATGAAGCTCTAACTCTGGGCCTACCTCCATTTCCAAGTTTGAATTGATAAATTAAGAGAGCAATTGAGGGGTGCCTGGGTGGCTCAGTCGGTAAAGTGTCTGCCTTTGGCTCAGGTAATGATCTCGGGGTCCTGGGATCGAGCCCCATGTCTGGCTGCCTACTCAGTGGGGAGTCTGCTTCTGCCCCTCCCCCTGATTGTGCTCTCTCTCCCTCACTCAAATAAATAAAATCTTTAAGAAAATAAAAATAAAAAATAAATAAATAAAAGAGCAATTGAAATCCAGGCATTATCTGCTTCATGATATGTAGCAATAGAAAGTACACAGACTACCTAAACAGTTTTGAAAAAAGAAATTATAATGATGTTTATTCAGATTTTATGACGCTGTGGAAAATTATTAAATATATATATTTTGAAGCCCTTATCTGATGTTTCCAAGCCAATTTCTCAAAAGGTTCTGCCCTATCAGTGTTTACACTCTGATCAACAGAGCATGAAAATTCCTAGCTCATTGACCCTGTGACAGTATCGTGATACCTCACTGAAAAATTTCTAAACAGACTATTGGGCTGTCACACTCCTTTTCTAGCATGTATTATCCATATCATCACAAGAGGCTGACTAACGCTGTTAGGTTAATTTCTGGATTCTGACTCTGTTAATCTTTTCCTTCTCTCTCGTGCCTAAATCAGGTGCATTAAAGCATCTCCTCCTCTCCTCTCAAAAAGGCATTAGACTCCCAGTAAGTCTATTCCACCTTGCTTACACATAGGAGATGTGCATGAAATGTATGCTAACTAGACGTACTGTGGCCATCATTCCACTGTCTATCCAAATATCAAATCATCACGCTGTACATCTGAAACACATAATGGTATACCTCAATTATATCTCAATAAAAAAGAGAATATGCATTATAAATATTAAAAATATGTGGGGGGAAGAGAAAATATGCATTGAAAATGAAATACCATTTTCATGAGTCTGTTTAAATTGTTGTATTCCATGAAAAGATCAGCTACAATGATGGTGAAGAAAGTAAGATTTCACTATGTAAACAATGCGTACCTGGGGTATGACACTCCAGAATGTTGACCATTACTGTGATATTTATTATTTTATTGTGATTCTGGTCTCTGTTCTGGAGTAGCCAATTTTTAAGATGCCTAAATGAAACCGTATTAATTTTGAGGAAACAGACTAAGATTCATTTTAAAAAGTCCCTGGGTTTGTAGATTTTATTGCATAACTGGTCACAATGAACTTGCCAGCAGGTGTTCAGCCTGCCCAGATTTAGAGTCCCCAAATGCCTTCTCAACCTGCGCCCTCCTGGCCTCCTCTGCTCAGATGTCTCCTGTCCTTTCCCTTCCATGTCTTGTCTTGGCCCCTCTAACTAGAACTGCTCTGTCTCTGCCTTTGCTGAGTTTAGAAATTCTTCCAAGACCTTTGAGCTTGCCCAAAGCCAGCTCAGTCACTGGCACCTTCTCCTTGGGTTGCATCGTTCATACCAGGGATTGTTTAATTATGAAACACTTGTTGGTATTTTCTGGCCTTTGATACAGACTACCACCTTGAATCGGCATCTGCAATTCCCCCTCAGTACCGATTCTCAACCGTCTCAAACCTCAGTTTCTATTTGCCTGGCTTCTCCATTTTATTTTAATTTCCTTTAACCAACTTCTTTAATAAAGTAACTGTCAACATAGCACAAGATATTAGTGGTTGACAATACCTCACCCTTTAAGAAATATATTCAATCGGAAATGTGATGTGAGCTCATACTTCTAAAATTATGTTTAAGATACTATTTCCGGCTCTGTCTCTCCTAAGGGAGGCAAACGGGACCTAGTAGCATCACTACCTACCCCCAATTCTCTTGTGTGATACCAGTGACTAGAGTTTACTCCCTAGCTCTGTTTCCTCCGAAAAGAAATCTGTCTTCTTAGAGAGTAGGTATTTGTGTCTTGCATCAGGAAAATTCAGGACAGAACTGAACACCATGTTGATGCCAGAAATCAAGCCAGCAACAAGGCTGATAAAACAAGGCATCCAAGGAAGGAATCCTGCCAGACCACCTGTGACAATTTGAAAATGAAAATAACATTAACATCATTATTTGGAAGAAGTTGATTCTACGAAAAGCCACGAGTTCATAATTACAGTGAAAAACAGAAAATCAATATAAAGGTTAGGAAAAGGCGGTTGAAGTATAAAAGCTGGATGAACACAAATAAAATATGTTGAGTTTGTCACCGGTTTTAATAAGTGCAGGAAGATGAATGGACGTGACTATTTTTTCTTCTTTTATATCCATGGCAGGTGATAGAGTAGAGATTTGAACGTCTCTATTTGTGCAAGCGGGACATTGAGGCAAGCCCAGCAGCTGTGAAAAGGCACCAGGTGGGAAGGATGGCGGCAGGTGTATGGACAGGAAGTGTATCGAGTACAGGAACAATGGATCCACCAGTGGCCACACAAGTGACGGGTCAGTGGTCCGGTGCTCAAGTACAGAAAGAGCTTCACAATCGCTTCTCGGCCTTTTGGCTAAGATCAAGTGTAGAAAGAGCTTCACAGTGTAGAAGAGAGGTGAATAAATCCTGTGGATCCCATAACACTGGTAAACGGAACCTCTAAAAGGCAGGTCCATTCATGAGACACCAGGTTGCAAAAATACTAAAACCTATAAGGAAGGCAAAGTCACGGGCACTTTCTAAAGTGTGTAGAAAGTAAAGGTTTACCATAAAAAAAAAGAGGTCATTTTGGTGATCAGTGGCTTGGATTTGAATCACCTGAGGAGAGGCAACCACATCAGGGCCCTAACTAAGGATAAATCAATCATCCAAATCCCGCTAATTTTTTGGTTCCAAAACATTTTACTTCTGAATACTGAAAGTTGGAATTCCCATAACTTTCAAGTGTCCTGAAATATTATTCGTCCTTTGGATTTTTCAGCCATTAAAAAAATGTCTAAGTCATTTTTAGCTTGGGGGCTATACGTACACAGGCAGTGAGCCGTGCTCACTTTGTGGATCTCTGCTCCATATAATTAGTAGACATTACGATATCTATGATTATCTTTCTATAGATTATGTCTTAACTGTGACAAAATCTGCATAACAATGTCATTTTGACCATGCCTAACTACACAGTCCAGTGGCATTAAATAGATACACAATGTTGTACAACCATCACCACTAACTCTACACAACACATTTTTGTCATCCCCAACAAAAACTCTGTACCTGTCAGAAAATTTCCTTTGGGAGAGTTCACTACTGATGTGTAGAAACACAACTGATCTCTGTATGTTCGTCTTGCTCCTTGCAAGTTTGCAGAGCTCGTTTATTAGCTCTACGAGTTTCTTTATGAGCCCTTTGGGATTTGCTGTACGTAAGGTCACGTCATCTGTGACAGAGAATGGTTTTCCCTCATCCTTTCCAATTTGGATGCCCTTTCTTTCTGTTGCTTGTCTCGTGGCTCTGGCTAGAGGGTCCAGTATAATGTTGAATAGCAGTGGTGGGAATGGGTGTCCTATCTTGCTCCTGATCTCAGGAGGAATGCTTTCAGCCTTCCAACATTGAGTGGGACGTCAGCTGTGGGTTTTTAATGTATGGCTTTGCTGGGAGTTTAGCTAAACTACTGCATGACGTCGCTGCCTCAGCATCCCTCTTGTGTGGTTAGGTACAAAATGAACTGAATG